ACTTCCTGAGGTTTTTGAACCAGGAAGGGTAAAGATCTCCCCTGCTCTGGTTGCTTCTTCAAAATCTGACAGTCCGGGTTTTCCATTGCAATTGGGATGAAAGGTCGTGCCTTACTCTGGGATGAAGGGCAAGACACCCCAGAAGTCCTCATCTGGGTGGAGAACATGATGGTGGTTGGATTGAGAGGGAGGGTGTGAGATGAGTCTTGGTCTGTATCTGAGCCAGACATGGGGGGTGGATTTCGGGTGTGGATGGAGTCAAGAGCTGTGCTTGAGTCACAGGCTGGGGCAAGGACTGGGCCAGCATCAGATGTGAAGTTACTTTGTCCTGAATTTGGAATGGTGAGGTACGACAGACTTCGTTGAATGTGACACAGGGAAATTCTGGAGGCATTTCCCTGACAGCAGCCACCAGGGCTTGCTGTGTGGAAAGGGCAGACCGCAGGAGAGCTGGCTGCATTTCTGCTGTGAAGGGTCCCCCGATGTCTCAGGATGTGGGGGCTTCTCAGGACTAAGCAGCTGCTCTGGTTTGTCTTTCATTTTCCAGAACGGGTGGTGACTCCCAGGGTCCTCATCACCCGGTGACTTGTATGTGTTCTCCAAAGAATTCAGGGGCTAGTCTGACCTCTCTTTCTTTTTTCCCTCTCCTTCCAATTCTTTAGTTCTGCTCTCTTGGTGATCAGTGTCTCCAGAGGCTTCTGGACATCAGGGTTCAGAAAAGAGGAAGTAGCAGCCTCTACCTGCGTGTGTGAGGAGACTCCGCAGAACGAGGCCTCTGGTGGGTGGTGGGACAGGTGCTCTTGCTGGCCCTTGAAGTGTGTTGAGGTAGAGAGGCTCTGGGCTTTGCCAGCCAGCTGCCACCAGGACAGGGTTGAAATGCAACAGCTTGAGCGGCCAAGGCGTGAGATCGCTGGGCTGTGAGAAGCCGACCAAGGGGTGTGTGGAGATGAGCTCTGTGAGATGTTGACCTGTGGCAGTGCCATGGAGTCACATCGAGCAAAAGTGAGAATGGAGTCTGACAACTGGGGAGCAGAGGAGGCTGTTGGAGTTGGAGGGTGAGCCTCTGAATCAGGGGGGCATGAGGTGGAAGGGGAATGTGCATGTGGCCATGGTGAAAGACGATCCAGGGGAAGGAAAGGCTCTGGTGGCTGCAGGGCACTCAGGGGTGAGAGTGAATGAACAGAAACTGAGTAGATCATGGAGCATGGTGACAGGGTGGAGGTCGCAGGTATCGGGTGGTCAGGAGGAGGAGCTAGGGAAGATGACATGGACGTAGACGGAGTAGCATCTTCCACAGGCGGCCAGCAGGGCCTGTGAGCTCTCTCAGGAGCTGCTTTGCACACCTCATGGGGGAGGTCTTGACATGAGCTCTGACGAAAGCCGCCCTTGTTCCAGTGCCTCCTCAGGTGGCTGCAGGAGATAGGGGCCCAGGCTGCAGCCAGGAGCAGATGGGGCCAGGAGGGAGGGCCGGAAGGGCTGGGTAGGTGGGGCAGCCTGGGAGGCCTGGTGGGGGTAGGCACCTGGGGCCCAGTGTCCTCCATGACCCCCATGCTAACTTCACAGTGCTCCTGCTCTCCCTCACCCCAGGGCTGTAGCCACACCATCCCCAGGATTTCCCCCACCCCAGACCAGTCCAACGCCACCTGCAGCCCTAGGGTCACATCATAGGCTCAGGTGCGGGGAGGACCCAGGAGAGAAGAGGAAGATACTTTACATTCGCAGAAGCAAAATCAGGCGCTGAGCCTCATGTAGTTCATGCAGGCAAGCTCTGAAAACTGGAAATCAGGAGACTGGGTCATGTGGTGAAGGCAGGGACCCGGGATCTTACAAAAGGTTGAGTGCAATGGCCCTTTAGGGGACACGCCTGGGACAGTGGACTCTGGAGCCTAAACATCAGGGTCCCAGGACACATGATCCCTGACAGTGATGGCAAGGCTCATGACGGGTAGAGCTGTGTCATTTACAAAGTACTTCCACATCTATTATCCCCAATGCCCGCACTACTGCCCTGTGTGGGAGGATGGGCAGGGGGCACCTCACAGAGGAATCTGAGCACAGGACACAACTTGTCCACAGTTGGACCAGGAGGCCCCAACTCCCCATCTGACAGTATTGGCCCCAGAGAGCCCCCAAGCCCCCAGAGGACACCACCCATTTCCCCGCACTCAGTGCTTCACTCTGAGCACAGAATAGGGAAAGATCCAGGTTCTGATGGTCTTCCCAGGAACCTCCCCGAGGGCTCTGTTTCCTGAGGGAGGACTGTGCCGCTGGCATCTTGGAGCCCTGGACTGGGCCCTCAGGGACAGGAAGGTGAGGACCATCTCTGGGGTGCAGGGCTGACGGGCAGAACTCACCTTCCAAATCTCTGTTCTCTTCCTGCTCCCCCTCCTTGGCTCCACTGGATGCTGAGAGACAACAAAATATGAGGGGCTGGGACCCCATCCTCACTGTCCTCTCTCTAGANAGCGAGCTCTTAACCAACTGAGCCACTCGGCCGGCCCTGTGGGCCGGGACTCTTGATCGCACTGCAGTAAGACTAGACCCTCCAGCCAGAAACCCTGTCTACACTTTTTTCCCTTGGCATTTAGGGACTCCTTGTGAATGAGTAGGTGGCCATGAAACAGACTTCTAGCCAAGCATATTAAAGGGGTTGATTAATCCAAATATTCTTAGTTTTAATTAAACATATCAACCTACACATACATCCCTTTTTAAAGAGTGATACATAAACATAATTTTAGAATATCCTCTGAAGGCAAACTTAGAACAAGATTCAGTGATCACTGGCATCTGACCCTAACAGCAGTGGAAGAAAAGAACTGAGTGTTTGAGTGAGAAATGCCTTGATAGATCTGCAGTCTCTTGAATTAGGGTACCTTGACTGGATTCTAACACGTGTCTGCACAGTAGCCAGTGGACAGTGCGCATGACATGTGCTCCAGGCTTGTTGGGCTGCTTTTCTCTCCCAGGAGGTCGTTGGGAGAAACAGATGAGGGATTTATTGGTTGATTTATTTAGCCAGCATTTTTTGAGTGCCTGAACATCAGGGAATATGCTTTTGGTCCTGCCCTGGAGTTGCCTATCGGGAGAAAAATGCACAGAAGAAGCATTTAACAGATTTAACTAGAACTATTGAGAGATGGTCTGTGAGGCAAGAATTGCTGTGGCTGTTATATGAATTTAGGTGCCTCATCTCATCCTGTACATCCAGACGAAATTTTCAAAATTACTTTTTTTTCTAACTCAAGAAAGGATAAGGAACTCAAAATAGTCAAAATATTTATAATGCATGAAGTAACAGGTAAAGGGAATAAAGTAGCTTTTTATGAGAAATTTTCCAACAAAATCCCATTACAATACTTACGAGAATGGTTTTCTGTGTTTCAGCTGCACCTGAATCCCTGCAGCTAGTGTGTAGAAACAGTGCTTTATGGCCTGGTTAGTCCCTCCCCATGACAGTCACCTCTGTAAACACTTTGGGTGTGACTTTCTCTATTGTCTTGGAAGGAAGGCAGAGCTGACTTAGCAGAAATCATGCTTCTCACCTTTGTGCTGTAGACTTTCTTTTTGTTTTACAATCACTGTAAGTTACACTTCCTACTTCCCATGGTGAGAAATCCCGAGCATTCAAATAAAATTTTCTTAAATTTTCCAGTCACCTGCAGAAGCTACATGGAAAAGAGCCATTAGCCTGTGATACGAGGTGAGGAGGTTAAGTGCTCAAAACTCAGAAATGATTCTGTTTCATTTCTAGCCACAACAGCTAGACCTGTTTCTAGCGGTGTGTTCATGATGATGGTTCCATTACTGCAAACAATTTAGATACTGCTGTAGTCGCTGTCCAGTGACTAGCATTGTGCTTATTTTAACACTTTTTCTCTTGTAGGAAAAGGAAGAATTGATTGAAGAGTGGCAAAGGTTGAAAAGTTTCTCTCTCCATGATGTGTCTTCTTTCATGGAAAATTCCTACCAGGGGAGGTGTGAAAACTGCACCCTGGTTGAACAGAGGAGACAGATCTTCGAATGGGCCATTGCCCTGTAGAGTAGCGGGAGCTGCCTGAGGACACTGTCCCTCTCAGCCCATGCTGGCAGGGTCGTGGCAACGCTGGCTCCCTGGGTGGGAAGACACACTGGCTGTTTCTGTCTGTGGCCCAGCTGCTCTTGTGCAGACTGTGATGGCCCTTGCCCTTGGTGGCTTGGTGACCGCAAGCCATGCCTTTCATCAGTTTTCGCTGCTCTGTGTAGGAGAGAGCCCTGTGGGAGCAGACTTGTGGACCTGCCGGAGCATGGTGTTCTGTTTTGCACCAACTGAACTCTGAGTCAGAGTGTTTGCGGTGAACTGTCATTGTCTCCTGTAGGATGTGCCCCACAGTTTTCAGCACCACCTGAGCCTCCACAGCTCTGCTGTTCAGAACTGAGCCGCTTTCGGCTGGTTCCCATCTATGGGCAGTGGCTGCTGAGGGCTGGCCTTTCTGGAGGGTGTGTTCCAGTCCTTTGCCTTTCCTGGGGAAGATGCACTGCAGTTGCTTCATCTTGTTTTTGAAGAAGTCTTCTGGAGAAGCCTGTCTGTTCTCCATGAGCCAGAAGGGCTGGCTTCTTAAGGACTCAACTGAGTCTTTTTCTTGACCAGTGCTCATCCTAATGGCTCGAGGGGCCCTCAGTCCTGCCAACCCCTCATCGGGCTGTCCTGGGCTGGGGCTCCTTCTGTGCTCCCTCTCATCAGTGGGGACAGACGTCTTGCCCTGCCTCTTATACTGGTCCTGCAGTCCCAGGGACTCTCCCTGGCTGCTCCCTTCACTTGATGTTACATCATGTAGCACTTGGGAAGCTGACATATCCCCAGTCGCCATGCTGTGGGAGCCAAACAGAGATGCCTGACGAGCCAACATGTCTGCAGCAAGTAACACATCAGAGCGACAGTCTTGCATAAGCATGTGAGTCGCGCAGTCTTGAAGGCTCACACCGGTTACACTGTCTTCGAGGAGCACACTAGCAGCACTGCCCTGCGTCTGGTTGTCTGACTCTCCCAGCTCTCTGAGCTCGAACTCACTAAGCTGTGCATCGAGGCGTGGCACTTCTGGATCTTGGTTGGCCGACTGCATAGGTAGTGAGGGGCTCTTACTGGACCCTGCAGACACTGATCTCCTCAGATCGACATTACTGTCTCGGGGGCTGGACGGCACACAGGGTCCCAAGATGGCTACCCAGACAGAGGCATCCAGGGCCTCCACTGCCTCCCTGGCCCCTTCAGCCCTTGAAGATTGTGACTCTGAGTTGAGCTCCAATATTGTAATGCTTTGACAGGAGTCTCGTGAGGTCTCAGCCACAGTCTTGTCACTTGGCTCTTTCCTGGCCACTGCCGCCCTGGGACTCAGCTCCAAGCTGTCTTTCTTCGCACCCACGACACTCCCGCTATGCCAGATTCTGCCCACAAAAGGATATAAGAGATTCTGAGAAGGCGGCCTGTCTTCTTGCACAATCAGAGGGGCCTCTGAGGGCCCACGGCCATCACCAGGTGGGGTCCTTCCCAGGGCACTTTGGACTTCCTCACACACAGGGGAGGAGGTATGGAGGTCACTCTCTGGGGTGAAACCCGACTCTTCTGTGATCACTCCCGCTCCTGGAACAGGCAGAGGACTGGACCCTGTGTCTTCTATTATCACATTTTCTCCCGAACGGCGCTGAGGAGGTTTTCCAAAGAACGCGGCGAGCCTGGCTCTTGAGAGGGCCCTGGATGCACGGGTGGCCGAGCAGGTAATGGGGGAACGTAGAAAGGGTGAGTGTCGAGCCTTTTCCAACTTAAAGCGTTCTATGGGCTTCCGGACCTTGAGGGGTAGGCTCTTCCAGGGCCTCCCCCAAGCCCTTCCTATATGTGCTTCTGGCAACTGTCGAGAGCGTGGACTGAAGACAGAAGA